ATCCAGCATTTAACTTTGTCTCTGCAGCTATCAAACTTCCCATAGCTGCACCCTTGCGCCTAGAGCTAGGTTCACGTGGAGGTACAGTACTTGCAATAATAGCATCTCTATTAATTCTTGGTCTACCTCTACCACGTTTCTTAGTTACAGGTTTCTCTTCATCACTTGAACTCTCAAGAAATTCGTCAAATTCCGCTTCTAGTTCAACATAGCTAACGACACCTTTGCGAGCTCTTGTTGAGCGTCTAGTAGCTGGTGCACCACTGTTAATATTGCTATTTGTTCTATAAATTGTATTAAATGTATAATAATTATTTGAATGAATATTATTCACACTATTATGTAAATATCCTCTAAAATTACTTGGGAGATTATTGGGTACTACTTTATTGCAACTCCCATTATCATCATTTATATTGGTACTGCTACTACTATTATAATTGATATTTTTATTATTCTCCAAAGTCATAGGGATATCCTTATCCAAATAGTTGTTAACAGAAGTCTCCATTGGTTTTGTATCATAATTTGAAGTTTGAGTTAACTGGTCCATTAAGATAAATTAGTCACTATAATTTCCACAAATAAATATCTGCTTTATTTTCTGTACAGCCAAAGAAATATTTAAAGTAATAGCTAGAGAAATAAGTTAGGCCCCGCAGTAGGCTTAATTAATTTATTTGAAAGAGAAATATCTCTTTTCTAATGCTAGATATACTGATAGGGAAATCAATCTCCCTAAGGACGCCCCCCAATAAACAATATATAACAAAAACACAATATTGTCTTTTTAATTTGTTATTCTGATTTTTACTGTTTAGAAAAGTTTACTTTCTAGGTATCGGAAATATTAAAATTAAAGGGGGGAGGGGGGGAGATTTTTAAGTAGCTCTATCTCTAAATTACAACATTTAATGAAGTAAAAAGGTGGTAGGAGTAACCGCTACAGACGAGACATTGCGGGTTTTTTTCCCTTTATTCTATTTTTAACTGTCAAGTAGTTAATTCATGAGTGGGTAAATTCTAATTATCCAAGCTACTATTAATGATGATATACCTTGAAATGAGTGCTAATTGACTTTAAGACTTAAATTATAAAATTTATAATTGTAACAATTCTTCCTAAATAGTAGCAGACTAAAAAAAGGATATATTATCTGTAATATTAAATAATATATTTGTGAATTATTTAAGTTCATCTTTCCTCACTATAGATATCTTAATTAAAGTATTTTTATATTTTGGTATAATAATAATTAATTAAAAGTGATGTGGTTTGCATGCGCATGCATACACTTGTATGATTTCTTCTTTTCACTATTTCTGTTAATTATAAAGGTAACAAGGTGTCTTAATTTCCAGAATAAGACTTTAAAAGGATATGATTTAAATAATCTAAATTATGAAATATTTAAAATGTAACTAAAAAGTTCAGTATGTATCATTCAAAGAGATATTATGTATAATTAATTGATCAGTGGCAATATATTAAATATTCGAAACACATATTGATTGTTTATAAAACCTTCAATATATTGAGCTAATCACAATACATTATAAAATAACTTTTTGAGAATTAGTAATGCTTAATAATATTAAGCAGAAATTTATATTTGGTCATTTCCAGATATTTTTTTGACAAAATAAGCTATAAATATATTATTAAATTGGATAAAGATATATGAGAAGTATTTATATTGATAAGAATCTTTAAATATATGTTACCTGAAAAATTCAACATAAGCTTAACTATAAATAAGGCGGTATACTTTCATAAAGCTTAACCTAACACGTGATAATTTTATTATCAATGTACTTCTGAAGTATATTACAACCTAAAAAGAATTGTAATATTTTCAGAATCTTGTTTATCAAAGAATATTAATAAAATTATAAATAACTTGAAATATGCAGCTACCACCATGGATGATGAGGCCACCATCAAAAGAATATATTTCACCAAAATGGCGTTGTGTATTAAGAATTGGTGCTTATGCAACTATTATTGTTGCATTTATAAAATATGGGGGACTATTAGAAATGCCAGAAAATCCACAATATGCTTAATATGGCAATAGATAAAGATAAGTGTGATTTATTATTTACAGTTAGTAATATATTTGAATAATGGATTAATATATATAAATTAATATACTATACTATATGTATAATTAATAAACAATTCTTATTCTTATTAATTTAACTTTTTAATATAATAAAGTAAGCTTAATTAGTATATCTATTCTATAATTATTAATAAATTAGATATTAAACTAAGTTTTATTTTGATTTACCTAGTGAGTCTTTAACTATATAACTTAAACTTCAAGATTTATACTTGCTAATTTAAATTATTGGATAGGACTAGCATACCTTAAGTTTCATAAGTAATACTAAAGTTGGGATAATTAAATGTTACTATTCTTATTACAGGATAATAGTAATTCTTAGTATATATTAATCATTAGTTATATAGCGCTTATAGAATAGCGCTAAATAGGATAGTTTTGTTCTTAATAAAGACCCAATAACTGAATAGTAGTCCTATCAGTGGATGACAGTTGAATAAGGTCACAAAGTTTTCTATTATTATATAATACTAGAATTCAAGAAACATAATAAATGGGACGTAAAGTAAGGACTGGTAAGGATCGATTAGATCGTTATTACCATTTAGCTAAGGAACAAGGATACCGTGCTAGATCAGCTTTTAAACTAATCCAGTTAGCCCAAAAATATGACATATTTAAAAATTGTCAAGTTCTAGTTGACTTATGTGCAGCTCCTGGTGGCTGGCTACAAGTAGCTAAACGTCATATGGGTGTATCAAGTAAGATTATTGGAGTAGATTTAGTATCTATAAAATCAATACCTGGAGTAACAACATTTAAATGTGATATTACAACTGAACAATGTAAAAAGTTGATTTTGAATAATTTAGAAGGTTTATCAGTAGATGTAGTGTTACATGATGGAGCTCCAAATGTAGGTACATCATGGAATAGAGATGCATATATACAAAACGAACTAGTAGTACATTCTACTAAATTAGCTTGTGATATATTACGACCAGGAGGTATATTTATAACAAAAATATTTCGTTCAAGTGATTATAATTCATTAATATGGGTTCTTAACCAACTATTTAAGACAGTAAGAGCAACAAAACCACAATCATCTCGTAATGTATCAGCTGAAATATTTCTAGTTTGTCTAGATTATAAAGCTCCTCATAAAATTGACTCAAAATTTTTTGATCCAAAATTTATATTTACAAATTCAAATGATATAAATGAATCTCAAGAGTTAAGATTAGCTGAAGTACAAACAAAGAAAGTGAAACCAGGATTATCAGAATTAATGAAAAGTATTGGAAAAAGGAATAGAGATGGTTATGAAGAAGATGATTTTCGTATTATAAGCTTATTTGATTTTTTCTATTCTGAGAATCCTGCTCAGATTTTATTAAAATCTCAGAAGATTCGTCTTTCACCTATAGATAATGATAATACAGAAAAGAGAGAATTTATAAAATTAGTACTAAATAACAAACGTACCAATGAAGAAATAAAAATATTATGCGATGATTTAAAAGTATTAGGAAAAAATGAACTTATGCAACTACTTAAATGGAGATTTTTAGTACTAAAGGAAATTGGATTATATAGAGTAGATAATTTCAACAAAGATATAATTAGTGAAATTGAAAATAATGAAGTTAATGAAGATGAAAATAATCAAATTGATGATGAAAATAATAATGATATAAAAGATAGCAATTTATTTAATTTAACGGAAGATTCGGAAGATATAGATAATGAATTGAATAGAGTACTGGAAATTCAAAGGAAACGTAAAAAAATTCTTGAGAAGAAAAAAAAAGCTTTATTAAAGAAGCAGGAATGGCGTTTATCTTTATCAAAAGGAGGATTTGATGTAACTGGAGATGAACCTGACTTATTTCACTATACACCCAAAGTAGCAGATATCTTAGAACAGGAAAGTCAACTAGTAGATCCAGAAACTTATTTTCCTGATTCAGATTTTGGACATAATGTAAATGAAAATTTATTAGGTATAGATATGGTATTAGATACAAATGAAGATTCAAACTATTCAAAAAGAGATATATCATATGAAGTACAAACTATAAATGAATCTGAAAATAGTGAAGAGGAATATATTGATCATCATATGAAATTAGATATTGATTTGGAAGTTCAAGATATAATTAGAAAGGCAAGTAAAAATAAGAATGAAAATATTAAAGATCACAAGAAAGGTGTAAAAGAAACTCGTCGTAAAAAAGTTATTTCAGACTGGTGCAAAGAAATAAATGAATTTAGTAATCAATTAGATATAGAAAATGAGAAAATTCTAGCTGAAAAGGTTGTAAGTCAAATGCAGGATGATAATGAAGAATCTAATGATGAAGAAAATGAAGTTTATAATATCGAAAAAATTACTGAAAATGATAATAAATCAATGATGTGGTTTTCAAATCCTCTATTTGATGATATATTAAATAATAAGAATACACCAGAATTAGAAAATACTTTAATAAACAAATTAGATAACAATAAAAATGATAATAAATCTATATTAATAAAAGAATTAAATGAAGATGAAATTCCTCAAATACCATTAAATGAAAAGAAAAGGAAAAAATTAGAAAAGCAAAAAAAAGAAATTAAATCTGAAATTAAGGATAAAACCGAAATTGAATTTATTAATCCATCTCCTACTATTAAATGTCCAACTAGTGAAAAGGAATTAGAGAAAGTACAAGCTATTGGATCTTTACTAGTTAATAAATCAACTAGAATGGATCTTATTGATGGGAGTTATAATCGTTATTCTTTTCATGATCCTATAGAAGATGGAAAAACTTTAGGTTTACCTTCTTGGTTTGTGGAAGATGAGATGAAACATAATAAACCTGAATTACCAGTTACTAAAGAGCTTATGGCTCAATATAAAGCAAAAATTCGAGAAATAAGTAGAAGAACAATTCGTAAAGAAGTAGAAGCTCTATATAGAAAGAAGAGAAGGCAAGAAAAACTTTTGCAAAAAGCAAGACAAAAAGCTTTGGCTATTGCTGAATCAGAAGAAATGAATGAAACATCAAAATCTAAAGTAATTCAAAATCTAATGAAGAGGGCAAAAAGTATAGCTAATTCAAAACGATCTACTGTTTATACAGTTACAAGAAGGCATGGAATTACAAAAGAAGTTAATAATAAAAAGGGTAAGAATATTAAAGGATATATGAAGAATGTAAAAACAAAATTTGTTGATAAAAGACTTAAGAAAGATAAAAGAGCAACAAAACGTATTGAAAAAAATAGAAACAAGAAAAGTAAAAGAAATAGAAAAAAATTTTAAAATTTCTAAATTATTGTCATTAACTAAAATTTTTATTATTTTATTGTATAGTTACTTTGAGTAATTTATATTTTAATTATATAATTCTAATAATTTATTACTAGTATAAAAATTTTATTGTATATCTAATGAATTTATAATACTTGTAAATAATACTCTAATTAATTAGATTCTTTATGTTTAAAAATTGTTACTATAAATTATTTCTAATTTACCTATTTAAAGTAACAATATATATAACTACTATTAAATAACTTCAGTATAAATCTCATAAATCTTAATGAATATATAGTTCATTATGTAGATAATATTCAAAGAAGACTTAATACATTATTGAAATATTACAAGATTATATATTTAGATTAATATAATAAGGAATTATAAAATATTTCCTTAAATATATAATAATATTCAATATTCGTCTATATATATATATATTCACTATCTCAGAATAAGTATATATAATATTATAAACTTATTTCTAAAAAAAAAAAGATCCCAATATTTATTAAATCCTATAAATAAATATATTCAAATTAATAGAAATCTTATTATATATGACCTATTTGAAATTAAATTATTTTAAAATAAAATAGTCAAATATCCTTTTCAGACAGCCAAGAGAATCACTGTAATCATACCCAATATAATATTCTGGGTCAGCGACTCTAGTTTTTTTACTCTGTCATCATAAGAATGTGAGTTCTATCCTGCATTTATTGACAAATATTTTGTCAAAGTTACTCAGATAGGAGCGAAATATTATCTTCATTATATAACCATAATTTAGTAGCTATTGGAAATATTCACTTATTGTATATTTCTATCATCATGACAGGATTAACTCATTCTATTTAGATTATTATTAGAATCAATATAAAAGACCATCCATTTTGTAATGATCTATTTACTATATAAAATTACTTATTGAAACTCTAAATATAAGTATAATTAATTCAGGATAGCATCCTCACCATTGTATTATTATTATAATATATCATTAATAATAGCAAGGTCTGATCGCCCGTCGCAGCTATTTGGGAATCATCATTACTAATTATATATAATTTTTAGAGTTCCATTTATATATAAAAAAAATGAAATATAAAACTTACATATAATATATATAAGCCAAGTCACAAAGTAATACTACTTCTTCTCATATTTTCCCTTTTTATAAATTTCCTCTTAATATTCTAATTAAAAATTAATAAGGCTTAATCAAATATATAAGATATCAAATATTACTCTTGTCTCAAAATAATTATTAAGCGCTAAAAAAAGAAGGCGGGAAATTAGTCAAAAATTTCATGCATTTCTTATAGATCTACGAATCATTTTCTCAATTTTATTTTTGCCAGACTTCTTACCATGAAATTTCCAACATAATTGTCTAAAAGCTTCCTTTTGAGTTAAAATATTACCATTCTCATCCATATGCCATAAAACAATATCTCTAAGAGAATCTTGCTTATTATTTATAGGATTTGAGAAAGTTTCTCCCCTCTGTTTAAATAATTCCAATGCAGATGCTATCCCAAAATCTAAAGGTTTTTCTACAAATAAATCATTATTTGAATAATTCGAAATATTATCTATTTCTTCAGATTTTTTAAATAATTCTACATTAACATTTGAATTATCTGTAATACTAGAATTAGTTAGAATTATATCTTTTTTAGATACATCATTATTGTTTCTAATATTATTTTTATTAGATATAAGCCTACAAATTTCATCCTCAGTAGATATAATAATTCCAGATGATAAATTATCATATATTTCCATTCCTTCATCTTTTATTAATTTATCATTAGTATTCTCCATTTTTATATTCATTCCTAATTCTTTTTCATTATCTAGATTAATTATTGGAGTTTTAACCTTAGATATAGATAATTTAGAATAAAACAATTCATCATCATCTACTTTATAATCTACGTCTTCAATATTTAGTCTGGTTGACGATTCAGTTTCATAATCATATATATCTTTATTACGTAGTCTTAATTTAATGTCTTGAATATTGGTTTTTAATTTCTTTATATTTTTGAAGTTAATATTCTGTTTATTTACAACTTCTGTAACTTCTATTTCATTATATTCGACTTTTTTTTTATCCATTTCATTTTGTAAATTATTTAAATTGAGTTGTATATCATTTATTTCTTCATCTAATACACTACAATCCTCTGGTATAAAAATTGGGAATTTTTCTTCTATATATTTATTTATTTGAGTCTTATCATATCGATTTTTATCTAGTTTTAATCCCAACTCCTCTTCATTATTATGATCCTTAGAGTATTTATATTTGTGCTCATGTTTATATATATAATCTTCATCATCACTATCTAATCTAATTAAATGATCACCCTCTTTTTTTCTTTTCATATTAACTCTCCCCTTTATTTTCCTTTTTTAAGCCTATTTATAATATCACTGAAGATATATTTCCTCAGTTTATGTTTCTTTAATCTTTTCTTCAAATAGGTATCTAAGAAAAAAAAAAATTATTAGCGCCAAATTTATATAATCTAATTATAGGGCGGGTTTTTATGACTTACAAACTTAGTAAAATTGTAAGTTTTGTTTTGTCCTCTTTTCTTTTCATCCCCTTCTTCTTTACCTTTTTCTTTTTTTTTCTTTTTAAAGAAAAAAAGATAAGAAAAACGTAATTATTCGAGGATAAGATACTTCAAGTTCACTGGATTTTGTGAAGATCTGGTTATTTTTATATGATAGTTGAATAATAAGAGCTATATTTTTAACTATTACCTTCTGAGGAGAGAAACTACTCAAAATAGAGATAAAACCTAAACAAGAATAAAAATATTAAAAGGTAGATATAAAATTATTGAATTAATAGTAAAAGTATTATGGACGATAGAACAGATAGAATGAGCCCACCAAGAGGACGTAAGATTCGAAGATTATATACACATTCTAACTATACTTGTGAGAATAATGTTAATATTAATTCAGCTTTAAGAAATGGTTCATATGAAACTGTGAAATGGGATGATAATGATAAATATAAAAATAAGATATTTTGTAATAAGGTGAGCTCAATTATTGAAGATCCTCTTACAAATACTTTAATAAAGGATCCTTATACTTCTAATCTAACTCCATTACAACTTAAATATCTGCAAAAAACAAGAAAAATTTTATCATATGAATTAGCTCATTACAAATCAGGTATGCGTCAATTCTCTTCAATTCCTGATTATCTTCCTTGTGATAGTTAAAATACATGGTTACATTTATTCCTTAGTTTAATTAGTTCTCATTCACATTAGGGAAATAGAGTACAATATACTGCTTACTTTATTCATATTATTAGGCTTCTATTTATAAATAAGTAATATAAATATCTAGTATTAAAATGAGTCCTACCTTTGAAATAATGTGGACTTGTACATCATCAATTTAACTATAGCTGAAATATCACTTATTATCTCGACTATATATATTTATTCATATTTATGGCTTCTTTGAAAGAAAAAAAAGAGAAATTATTAATCCTAAATATTATATTAATTGTTATATTAAATATTACTTAAAAAGCCACTTAGAAATCTTAACAAAAATGGGGGGTGATCCGGGATTTGAACCCGGGACCTCTCGCACCCAAAGCGAGAATCATACCCCTAGACTAATCACCCACACTGTCTTGGGGTCAAGATTTTTAAGTTATATTTATACATTTACAATAGGATAAAATAGGGATTTATCATTAATTTAAATATCAACTAAGTTACAATCTGTTTTAGGTAATATGTAACATCATTATTCCTTATAACTATATAATAGAGTTTATAAATCTTCATTTTACTATTTAAATAATATTATTAAGACTTACCTACTTTATTAAAATAATATATAAAGATTTTTTATTTAGAATAATGTAATAGTAAATAGGAATTATTGATATTTGTTGTAACTTGTGTATTTTTAAGAAAAGATTAATTATAGTGAGTTTTTATTGAGAGTCTAATATTAACTTTAGTAAATATCAATATTAAAGAGTACTACCAACCCACACAGTTGGGTGATTAGTCTAGAGGTATGATTCTCGCTTAGGGTGCGAGAGGTCCCGGGTTCGAATCCCGGATCACCCCTCTCATTGAGGGTAGTTTGGGCCCTATTTTTATTCTCAATAAGGAATGAATTCAAATAATTATTGTTCAATCTTTAAATTATAATGAAATTAAAATAAATGAGATGACCATATATAATTAAATAGTAAATATATACAATAATATATTGAATTTTACGAGAAAATAAATAGTTATAAGAAAATGTCTAATTATAATATTTATAAAGTAAATAAAAAGATAAAAGAATAATAGAATACTAAGTATGTATATATATATATATATGATATTTCAATTAATCTAATTTCTTTTAAATAAGATATACATTAGAAAAAATATAAAGAATATGAAGAGTATCATTATCCAAATGTGTTTCCAACTATTTGTTCCACCCAAAGACTTTATTTTAGATAT